ACCCGGTTGCCACTTTTACAAATCGGCGCGGCACTCTTATTTCAGGCATTAAAAAATCGACCATTCATTCGAGGCAATCGATAAAATCTGGTCGCTACCGTCGGGAACGCGAGATCGTATCGTATAGCGTAGCTTTTACTGCAGCAACAGATACGGCGGATGTCCGCCGCCGCGCCGTATCGCTTTTACCGTGCAGGGTCCATCCGGATGCTTGGGCATCGCGGATACGCGAGAAACCGAAGGATTTTAGTTTAAACGCGCGTATATTCTTGTAACAACTATTTTTCCGCAAAGGGACCGAAACGTGCACGAATAATTTGTGCCATTTCAACCGATCTCAGTGTCCGCAGCGAACGAATCCGCCTGTATCGACTATATGAGTGTCCGATAGCCTCCTCTGCCTCGTACCGGTTTACACGCGGGATAAGCATGTATATAGCAGAAAAAAAAACCTACGCAACTGTGTAATTACCCTGCGTAATTCCGGGGCTGGACCGACGCGAAATTCGGTAGTACCACGAGGGGTAGTGTGCGGCAATCGGCGAAAAGGAAAAAGAGACCGGCCATTCATGCGCGTTACGCGATAAAATCTGAGAGCCGCGCTGAAAGCGCGCCAGATCGTATCGGCCAGTAATGCGATCCCCCAGCAACATAATGGTGCAAAACCCGGCCCATTGTTGTTGGCCGGGGTGCATTTGGTGCACAGGATGTGCTCCCGATTTTCTCGGGTGTCGTATAATGTGGCTTACGCCTAGCGGGGGGATGATAGGGAGGAAAATAATGCAGCGAGATTCAGCGATTTAGGATACCGAGAGAGAGAGAGAGAGAGAGAGAGAAAGCAAGAGAGAGAGAGAGAGAAGGTAGTTATAGCGGCCAAGCGGATAAATATGTAGGTTTTTTTATCAAGTAATCCGTATCGTTCTGCAGAATTACAAGAGAAATTATTTCCCACGAATAATTTAATTCAAATAATACAATTTTTTATAAAGATATAATTCTAAAAAAAAGATTTCAACTTAATAATGTGAAAATTCTAAAAATGTAAATACGAATTAAGCTTTAGTTTAAAAGATACAAGCTTTGTATGCTATTTCTCATTTAAACACTTTTCTAAAAATCAATAATTCAGAATAATTCAGAATATAATAACTATTCTAGTAAGTGCGTAATCAATATATCAACAGTTTATATATTTTCATTTTTTATTTAGTACTTTATTTTTAATGTATTATAATTTAAAACTGTTCGATTTCGTTCGAAAGAAAGTTAGAATGTATAAATTAAGAGATGATAAAAGTCACACTATAAAAACCATCAAAAACGACTTTATCTCGCAAAATATCGAACTCGTCAAACTTTCTTTATTAAGAGATATAAAAATTAAACTTCAATTTCCTGTAATGTTTCACCTATGTCAAATATATCATCCAACTTTTTTTTTATTAAGAAATATAAATAAAAAAATTAAACTTCAATTTTCTATCACGTTCCATCTATATTAAATGTACACATAAATTTTACTCTGTATAAAAAATGCTTTTTTTTTTCAACTTACAGTTTCTTTCATTTTTCCTCAAAATGTTGATTGCATTGTCGCTCGCAGAACGTGTAATGTGAATGATGTGTAAATACATACGAATGTCCGCAGTAGTATATCGAATAATCGAGCTCGAATCCACGGACTTGCTTAAGCCTAAATTGACTGTGCGGAGCTGTCATCCGAACTCAGCGAAATCACCGAAAACGCACGTGGCACGGCGAAGTGGCGCCATCGGCAATGAAACAAGAAAACGCGTAGCAACTCTCGCAACAGGTAACCCAATCGCTCAGCAATGCAGTCGCGTGCGACTCCGGCGACCTGTTTTACCGACCGCTTCTATACCGACTACAAATGAGGAAGTTCGCGAAGTTTTCGGGTGCGCACGATAATCAATTAACATCGCCGCGCGCGACGAATTATATGTTTCGCTTATCTATCGTCGATTATCTATCGCGCGGCGAAACTATTATGTACATATACGATTCCGTCGAAGAATAACGAATTTTCATTGTAGAAATATACATCACATGACGTTCTGGGAAAAATACAGATGATTTAAGATACCGAGTATGCAATAAAAAAATTGTTCTCACCGATCGTCGTGTGGGACGCCGGCGGGTAGCTTCCTCTCGTCCTCTCCACTCTTGTCCAGAAGGTCTCGTCTCACGTCGTGATCCGTCCAAAATGAAGTCGAAACACCATCAGAATCAGCTGGCACTTTATTCAGTCTCCCAAGCAGTTGAGTCCTGATCACTTGACCGAGATCCGAGATTTTGAACGACACGCGACGCGCGTACGCGACTCGACGCCGGCGTTACTGCGCATGCGCGGCTCGCGGTGCACTTTTTGCCGAACCGAATTTTCGTCAACGCACGATCGGGTATCGCGCGGATCTCGTATATTAGACGATGCGCAGGACAACGCTGAAAGTTCCGCACTCCCGACGATGAACGGACGAATGATGCGCGACGATACGTGCGACGATCGCTTCGGTAATTATATATATACCGACCCGATCCGAAGCGAAGCGGCCGGAGCGCAAGAATTCGAGTGCGCTTTACGGTATACGTGTCCCCGAATTGTAACCTTCGTCGCGAAGACGACGTTAATTTGCTCGCGTTGCGGGATGAATAGAGCGTCACGAGAATCGCCCGCTTTTGCCCGGCACCCGCGATAGTCCGCGAAGCGCTTCCGGCACTTATTCGCGCGCGCGAGACTCAGTCTCGGCGAGAGAGACCGACCCGGACGATGCGCCGACGTACGCACGGGAGAGAGATGGACGCAAACTAACATGGCCGCGCATGCCCACCGCGCACCCACGCAGTACAGTCCTGCAGCCTGTACAGGCCGCTGCACAGGCCGCTGCACAGGCCGTTCAAACGTTTGTCGAATCTATAATGTTTATTAGGTCCTGACCGAAATAAAATCACGGCCTGTGGTTTTACACAGTAACGCTGTTGCATGTGGTAAGTATTATAATGTATAATTATAAAATATTATTACGTGTAATACAACAAACATTCAGCAATACTGCAACGGTGAAGAGAGCAAAAATGTATTAATTAAATATATATAAATATTGTAAATTGATCGATCATCCAACTACCTTAACGCCTGTTTTTTTTTCTATCCGAAAAAAAGAAGGAATTTAGAGTGGAACAATTGTTTTTTAACGAAAATCTGTAATACAATGGACACTTGATCTTTTGTGAGCGAAAATAATTATTGTTTTCTGGATAAAGTGAATAAGAGATTAAATAAAGCAAAATTGTTACGTTACGTTAGGTTAGGTTACGATTGTAATTACGATCATGAACAATACTGTACGACGAAACGTAATTAACGTAAAATCTATAAAAGTACAATATATGTATATATTTCGATATATTTTAAACGGACGGAATAAAATACATTTATTTTGTTTATTTCTTTAGTACATTTAATTCACTACTTTCTCTTTGTGGAAGATAGTAAAAAAAGTTCTGAAAACGTGGATTAGTTTATATAAATTATGGTGATAATGTTATTATGAGATTTAAAAATTCATAACGTCGAGAAACAAAAGTTTTTCACGGTAACAATCAAATTACGGGGAGCTCTTCGATAAAGGAGATTCTGCCCGTTTTTAATCCCGATTTATAAGTCACAACATTTTTATGGGACAGTTTCTACTTGAATGCGCCCGTTTAATACTTCAGTCAATTTACGCTTTGCAGCGCAAGCCAAACGGACGAGCCGAGCTTCGTACTTTAAAGCTCCAGCAGCCAAATAGGAGCCGTACGCTAGAGAGAGGTGGAGCAAATCTCACGTCTGTGTATTATCATCCTTTTGATGTCCTTCTCAAAGCCGGACCTTGTCGAGCTTACATTCCTCGCTGTTGTAAGTACAGGGAGGTAGAAGCTATTAAATTTCGACGACCGACCACGCGGATTGCTATCATTTTCTAAAATGCACCATTACGTCTATTCGTGACATCGGTATTACCAAATAACGGAATACTATTTATACATCCGAAAAATTGCGCATTTTTTCGATGAAATAACGACCAAGACAATTGTCGATACAAAAGCTAATTGTAGCTATACGACATCTTCTCTAATAACGACTTAAATCATGTTTAAAACTTAATAACAAATGTATTGAAACGTTAAATGTATTTTGTAACGTTCGTAATCTGTATATTAATCTCACGTAATTTATATAAGTTGTGCTTCTCGATGAAAAGTTTCGTGAAAATGTAATTTTACAGACGGTGATTGATTGTAATAAATGACATTGCAGGTGTCATTGTCGAGTGCCGCTTTCCGAAGGCTACGGCGAAATTGGAGTGCCATCCCTGTATCGTTGGAATCTGGAGTGTACTGGACAATACGGGGAGACAGTCGCAGCGGGGCTTTATTAAGCTTATTAACGGAACATACAAGGGTGGACGTATCTACGTCGCCGGTGGTCGGGGAAAATATAACCGCCGAGAGGGACGTGAGGATGGGAAGGTAATGGTGGCGGGAAAGCTGTATTTCAACTCGTTTAATCGTGGCGCATTCGAGACCTCTACTTGTCTAACTTGTCGTATCTCATATGCTACCGTCTCTTTCTCTCTTTCTCCTTTTCTTTTTCCATTTTTACCGCCACTGCCGGTTATCCTTCAAACAACACGGTAACAATAAAATGAAAGAGAGAAATGCGTTTCGAGAGTAGCCTTAATTAACTATTAATATTTCACGGTGAGATAGTGTTACTTCGAGCAACTGATATACCTCGCTATTATTATTCTGTTGTATAAAGCCGATAATTCATATATATATATATATATATCGATAAAATCTCGGAATAGAAGCTCTGTTTCATTAGTTCTCGTATACACGATAAATCGACGAATGATTTCATATCTACAATTAAATATTTATCTTCTAGCAATCATTTTAAAACAATCTGTTTGTATACTTGGATTTATTCCTTCTGGTAGTATCCACATTTATTGGCATACACATGTATATATACATATATATTTTTTTTTACATGGACACCCCTCGTATTGTATTATATATACAATATTAATTTTTTTATATGGGCAACCCTTATACCTTTCAGACAAATTTTCTTCTCGACTCTCCCTCGTTTTATCGCGTGTTCTGCGCAAAAGGATTATTAACTGCACGCTTCGTAGAATTAAAAGACAAATTATATCGGAAACGGAAACGAAAAGAGTCGCTCCGTATAGTCACGAACAGACCACGTATTTTTTGTTTCTAATAATAATGCTTTCTGGTATCACGACTTATTTGTCATTAGGCTATATTATAACTCCAAATTATCTATCTACAAAATGGTTTCAATGCACCTTATTATATTATACATACATGCATGGAAACTTGTATTAAATTGCGATTTCTCTCCGTGTTTTTTTCTTCTTTTTCTTAAATTCGTATCTTCGGAAGCTTTACATTTGTAGTAAAGTAAGCTGCTGCAAATACATACACGCGTGTAAGAACCGAGGGAGAGAGATGAGCGCTCATACGTAAGGGCCGCGGCGGATTTGGTGGTAAGCTGACGGAACAGGAACGATCCTCGTCTAATCGCATCCCTAGTCCTGATTTAGGACGGGATTTTAATTACGAAGGGTCAGTAAGTGCGGGTGTCCACTTGGCACAAGTATTCCTCCCTTATTTATAGTTCATTAGCTCGGCTTTCGCGTAGAAGGCAAATTAACTTATGCCTAACGACACACCGCCGCCTTTATCCACCGAAAGAACGAGAAATTCCCTTTCACCGTTAAATCTTGCAACGAAAGAGAAGCACACACATTATAAAACATATATAATTCCTTGAAATTTGATATCTTTCTTATTACGTTAAACTATACAGTATTATAAAACGTATATTTTTGACAAGAACATAAAATTTATGTAAGATTAAATTATTAACGGAAGAATTTATTTATCGATAAAATTAATGGGAAGCGAAATGAATTATATCAAACGGCTTCGAAAATCTGAATTTTTCTACTAAAGTCAATTTTCTAACAACAAGATATCTAACTTCTTGCAATTGTAATTGTTAAAAGGAATAGTAAAGCATATATATCGCAGAGAATAATATACTTTATGAAACTCGACACTTTTCTGAGAAAGCAGTCAACGATAAGGCGGTCTTGTGAGCTTTTCCGGTGGCGCTGGAAGTGGCTCCGAGTGATATCGTCGCACTGATAAAAATGCGTCAAAAAATCCGTCTATTTGGGCTATCCTGCTGTTAATTTGTTATCACAGCACTGCCTAATGCAGCCGTCGGATATAATCTTGTCGCCGTTGAGTAATGCTTCACCCATTAACTGAACCTCCTTTCGGTCGGACGTCGGTCAAACGTATATAAATCAAATTGGCTGAATTTATCTAAATATTAGCTATTCTCGATAGAATAATCTCGATAAGAATATTTTCGATTCGTAGCGCGCAATATTATTCGTAAAATGTATTCAATTCAAACTAATCAAAATCATTATTTGATGTATCAAATGATGATGTATCAAATGAACAACAATATTCCGGTATTCTGTTACGCATTTGATTCATGTAAATCATGTTGAATGTGCTAATTCTTTCTACATGAATCTTGTTCATACAGAAGCATATAAATTTGTAGAATCGGCGCACTTCTTATCCACTGCGTTCTGACTATCCGAATTGCGGACCGATGAGAAAAGATTTGAAAGAGTTAATGTCTTAATTCGCTCTCGTACGTTGTTACTTGTGTACAACATACAAATAATGCGGTCGCGGCGGTTGCGGTTTCGCGATTGATCGTAGTCGCCGATTTTTGCGGCGGATCCGAACATTTCGCGACGCGAATAGGCGAGCGATTGATAAATTTATCCCCGTATATACCAAGGAGCGCATTCAAAGGGGTTAATCATCGATATTCTTGCGAACACGGCAAACCGCATCTACCTTCTCGATTACGCGTCAGCGCAGACCACAGTGCAGTAAACAGTAGCATCTTGTGACCGCGATTTCAAGAATTTTTGGCGAGTCTAAAAAATATGACGGTCCAGAGAACTGTCCAACAAATTACATAAAGATCTGAGAGGTGCAGCGTCTTTTTGACGTTTGTATGTTACCTAATAATTAATTGTAGATAATAGATAATAGAAAACTTAATAATTTATTTAAAATTTGATAAATAAAATTACATTTTATAAAATAGTGATCATTTGAGATTATACAATAAGATAATCTATATCCATTATTATTTGAATACAATAAATTGTAAAACTACGTAATCTCAGCAAACACCAAGTTACATGTAACGTACTTGTTAGTTGTAATTTTTCACTCAACAATATAACTATAATATAACACGTGTTGTATTATATTGTAGTTATATTATTCAGTAAAAAATTACAACACTAACCAGTACGTTACATGTAATGTACAATCCACCAAGTTACAGGTAACGTATTTGTTAGTTGTAATTTTCCATTCAACAATATAACTATAATATAACATGTGCTATATTATAGTTATATTATTCAGTGAAAAATTACAACACTACAAGTACGTTACATGTAACTTGATGTTTTTTGGGATCTATTAATTGAGCGATTTTGAAAGGGATTTAAGCCAGTTAATTCTTCAAAAATAATCGAGTTATTTAATAAAAACGTGCAATAGCCTCCCGATTGCTCCAAAGAATATCGTTTCTTTGAATCACTGTTTTAATATTCCAACAAGAAGCATTGAGATCCAAGCTTCCTCGGGAAAGGAAAAGGGGTCAAGAGAGGCAGGAGGTGGAAAGCAGTGGAGGCGCAAAGGAACAAAATCGCGGGGGTGGGGCAAGCGATACATGATGCGGGAGAGTTCTACCCCTCTACCTGCTTCCCCAACGAGAGGCTCCGCCTCCAGAAAGCCGGATGACGTCACACAGACACTTGTTACGCCTTGCCGTTGCTTGATGGGATGCTGTGTCGCTGAGATTTTGCATAAACCAGAAAGAAATTAATCGATATACGCCGACAAATCTACGCACCGAAGAAATATTTCTTCCCCAAAATATTTGTTCATTTTTCGATTGTGATCAGATCTTTCTTAAAAAATTCTTATAATTACAGACATAGTTTATATATACATGCACAAATTAATTTTTATGTATCCCAACAAATATAGATGATAACTACTACATTACAACAATATTATAACATTTCTGCAATATAGCTGGAATGTTATAATAATGCTGCAACGTTGCAATTATAATCTGTGTTTGCTGGGTATATGTAAAAAAATCACGGAAAAATTAAAAAATGTTTTTTAAAAACCACATATAATGCATTTTGATGAAATAAAGGATATATTAAAATAAAAATTTTAATATTAAATACTTTTATATTAAATATAAATGAATTATTCATAAATGAATTCTTATTGTAAGTTACATTATGGTGGATAAGTTTAATGGGAGATTCGTCGCTAGCTTCACTGCTACGCAAAACGCGTCTATCCCCACAATGCGCGTTCCCACTTTGCAAAGAAAGGTGGGGAAGAATTACTCGAAGGCTGGACTCATCATATCGCGGCCGCTGGGAGGCTGGACCGTCCTGAGAAATTACGCGATAACAGAGAGGGAATTTTATCGGTATTCCCGCTTATCGTCAGAAGAGGTGGCCTAAACAGCAACTGATTGTTTACCAAACTACGTTCTATTACGATTGATGCACTTTGGATGTATCAAAATCTATATTTTAATTCTCTAGTGATATTGTCTTATAATTAAAAAAAAATTTTTTTTATTTTGTTCAAAAATAACTCGTAAATAAAGAATCTATAAAACATATATTCTCTCGATATATTTCGATACGTACTGCACGGAGAGAATTTTCTTTTAAAATTTACTCTGAAAATCATGTTAATTGTGAGACAATTTATTATTTAGGTAAATTGTACTGTGCATTACAATAAATTTTACTGCGAAATCTTATTGTAGTGCAC